GACCGATAGGTTTAAAATGCACGTTGCGTTCGATCCGTTATACATATTCAACAACAAGGACTTGTTATCTATACGACTTGCGATCAAAATGATTTGTGACTCGCTCCCAACTTCGAGGCGTCTTTTTATTTCGCTCCTTATCTTTCCTCGCAATCTTTCGGTTTGAAATTGCGTTTCAAAAAACACCACATCCGGTACGCAACGGTTTTGCGTTATCGCGGGAAGTGCGTCATCAAACCGAAAGCGGCTGATCGCTTCGGGCGATAAGAACAGGCTCACTTCCAGGAAATTGCGGTTTTCCTCGAAAATATTTTATTTGTTTGCCGCGCAATTACAAACTGCGCGCTATTTATTTTTAAACGCAAACCGCTTCCGGGAAATTCGCGGTTTTTCTCAGAATTATTTATTTCCGGGAAATTGCGGTTTTTCTCGGAATTTCTTATTTATTTGCTGCGCAATTACAAACTGCGCGCTATTTATTTTTAAACGCGAACCGCTTCCGGAAACTTTGCGGTTTTTCTCGGTTTTTCTCGGAATTTCTTATTTATTTGCTGCGCAATTACAAACTGCGCGCTATTTATTTTTAAACGCGAACCGCTTCCGGAAACTTTGCGGTTTTTCTCGGAATTATTTATTTTAATGCGCACTTTATATTTTAGCGATTACGTCATCATCCAAACGACTTTGAACACACATGACCAACTTGCGATCAAAATGATTTGTGACTCGCTCCCAACCTCGAGGCGTCTTTTTATTTCGCTCCATATCTTTCTTCGAAATCTTTAGGTTTGAAATTGCGTTTCAAAAAACACCACATCCGGTACGTAACGGTTTTTCACACGGACGTTATCATAAGAAGTGCGTCATCAAACTGGAAGTGACTGATCGCTTAGGGCGATAAGAACAGGCTCACTTCCGGGAAATTGCGGTTTTTCTCGAAATTATTTATTTCCTAGAAATTGTGGTTTTTCTCGGAATTATTTATTTCCGGGAAATTGCGGTTTTTCTCGGAATTTCTTATTTATTCGCTGCGCAATCACAAACTGCGCGCTATTTATTTTTAAACGCGACCGCTTCCGGGAAATTTGCGGTTTTTCTCGGAATTATTTATTTTAATGCGCACTTTATATTTTAGCGATGACGTCATCATCCAAACGACCTTGAAAACACGTGACCACTCCTTCCCCCTCCACTTCCTTCGCGCGGTTAACCCCTCCCCTTCCCCCCACCCCCTCGCAATGCCCTCGGTTGTCGGACTCTTTCTATCTTATGGACTGTTTCCAGTAAGGCGTGCTCGAACTTCTCGATCGCCCATTAGATAGACAAGGACAGAACATGACTCGCCTATTGGAAACCTGAGTCAGAACACGCATAATATAACTACTACAGTTTTATACCATTAACAGTAATAGTTCTGTTGAAAATACTCGTGCTTTAACAAACAAAATGTCAGCACATAATGTAGAAAAAAATATTGTCACTTCTACTCAAATAAAAAATCTTATCTGCTATTTTCCAATAGATGTTTCTTCAAAGTTACAAGTTGATTCAGTAGAAACAATAAATTCTATAGATAATAAATATATAGAGAGTGATTTGAATTTCAATGATACTTCGTTAAATATATTTGAAGCTAATAATGATACATGTAAGATGACAATTCTTTTAATTTACGTGATAAGCTTTTTTCATGGGCACTTGCAGAAAACATAATGTAGGGAAGGTATTTTAACGATGGTTGTGATGGATGGTCGGTGGCTAGTGAGAATGCCGGAATGTACAAGTAACACTTTATTAAAACTCACAGCTCTACAATGCCGTTATCCTTCTTTACATGCGACACGACCGATGTGTTTCCCTGCCCTTTTTCTTACGTACTGCCCTTTATTTGTTCCCCTTCTCTCCACGAGCCGCAGCAGCGCCTCGCGCCACAGTTCGTGTTTTTTCTTTAAAAACACTACATTCGGCCATGCCTGACCATTTGGTCGCCCCGACTGAATGCTTAAGGAGAAAATAAACATCTTTGTATTCTAAATATTACTAACGAAATAACTAGGTCACAATAACCAGACCGATTACAATACTGTAAAACAACGAGATCACATAGCTTATCCCTTTTTTCTTATCCTACGTTGATGACTATCAAACGCCGACTCTCAACACTCAATTTCAGTTCTGACGCCATGGCCTTAGGTTCGCGGCTTGCCAAACTCCGCAGTACGGACGCAGAGTGTTTTGAAACCCGTCTACGTCAACGATTTTATATCTGTCGTGGCCAAGGACTTCCAGAACCTTATACGGTCCCTTAAACACGGGTACGAGCTTATGGGCCGCTCTGGTCGTTTTATCAAAATTTTTAATAGACACTAAATCACCTACAGAATACTTGTGCGCTTCTTTACGTTTGCCATCCGCATATTTCTTATTATACGCTTGTGATCGTAATATTCTATCAGACGCTTGCTCTCTTATTTTTTCTGTCTCGCATGGTTCGTGCACGCCTTCCTTTTGCAAATATTCGCTTAGATTGTCCACTGGGTGGCTACGTTGTTTTACTCCAAATAACAGTCGACTCGGAGTTTCTCCCGTCGTTCTACTTATCGAATTATTTAATGCGTATTCGGCTTCGGAGACTATTTTATACCAATGTCTTCCTACCGANCTGTCTGACAGCTTAGCTAACATAGGGATCAGAGTCCGGTTGACCCTTTCATCTTGTCCATTAGCCTGGGGAGAACCCGTGGCGATTTTGACATGTTTGATTTCGTTAATGTTTACAAAATTTCCAAATTCGGCGCTCGTAAAGCAACTACCTCTGTCTGTGACCATCATTTTCGGTTGCGAGTAGTGCTCGAAATACTGCCGCAAGCAGCTTATAGCCTCCTTACTCGAGGTCGTCTTAGTCGGATACAGCTTGACAAACTTCGTAAACGCGTCGATCACGACTAACAGATGCTGCTTTACTAATCGCCTTTTATCTATCGGTCCCAGATGATCGACGTGTATGGTGTCAAAAGGCACGTTGCCCTTGGGTATCGAGTGGATCAAGCCTTCCACCCTTCCACTAACTGGAGAAAATGCAATACATTTTAAACAGTTCTTAATGTGGTTATTGACTTTCTCACGAAGCTGTGGGAACCAATAATTTTCTAAGACCGCTTGGGCCGACTTCTCGACGCACAAGTGGCCTAACTCGTCGTGGTATTTATACAAAACATTTCTCTCCATTTGTTGTGGTACATAGAACAACAATCGATCGTTACTCTTACNGTAGACGAGACCGTTTCTCATCTCATAGAACTTATCCTCCGTTTTCTCGAGTCTATCGCGGATTTCGACGATTTTAGGATCTTGTCCCTGACACACTGCCACATCCCACTCAAAAGGGTTTTCTTCAATCACGCCTACAGCGCGGCTAAGAGCATCTACGTGACGCATACGCGTTCCCGCCCTGTACTCTAACTCATAATCGTAGTCAAGCAATGCAATTGCCCACCTTTCGATCCTACGGTTTACGTCTTTTTTCCTTAGCGTCATCGTAACAGCGCTACAATCGGTCATGATCTTAAATTTTAATCCTAACAGATAAATTCTAAATCGTTTTAGAGCGTAAATTATCGCGAGGGTCTCGAGCTCGAAACTATGTAGCTTAGCTTCTTTTTCCGTTGTTCGCCGGGAGTAATAAAACACTGGATGCATTTTCCCGTCGGGTTGCTTTTGCATCAGAACCGCCCCGTAACCTGCAGAACTTGCGTCGCAGTGCAGTTCGGTTTGCCTGTTTGGATCGTAAACTGCCAGAATTGGGGCCTCCGTAAGTTTTGTTTTAAGCGTTTCGAATGCGGTATGTTCTGCTTTACCAAACTGGAACGTCGCATTTGCTTTCGTTAAGTCATAAAGAGGTTTAGCAATAGAAGCAAAACATTCAACAAATTTCCTGAAGTAGGAACACAGTCCAAGGAAACTACGGACGTCTCGCTTTTCGGAATCGGGAACTTTTCAACTGCTTCAATGCCACTTTTTGTCGGTTTCACGCCCTTCCCGGAAACCTCATAACCAAGATATTCTTCTTCCGTCTGAAGAAAATAACACTTGTCCAGTCTCAATTCTAAAAGATTTTCTGAAAGGGTTTTGAATACGCGTTCTAATACTTCTAAATGATATTCCCTTGTCTCCGTAGCTATTAGTATGTCATCCATATAAATGACCATATCGCCAGATCTTATGAACTCAGTAAAAATAAGATTTATATAGCGCTGAAAGGTTGCTGGTGCTGTACGCAATCCGAAAGGNATTCTCAGCCACTCGTACTGACCCAGCGGGGTCACAAATGATGTGTACTTAACTGACTCGTCTGCCACTCGAACGTGGTGGAAACCGTCTTTCAAGTCTAATAGCGTAAAATATTTCTTGTTTCCTACAACCGTGAGTTGATCTTTGATAATCGGCATAGGATAGTTATCCCTGGCGGTTACCTTATTTAACGCTCGATAATCTACGCACATGCGTAATTTCCCATTTTTCTTTTTGGTTAATACAACAGGTGATGCAAATTCGGAGTCACTATCCCGTATGTACCCCTTCTTTAACAACTCGTCTAAAATNGTGCGAAGTTTTAACTGTTTATCATACGGAAGCTTACGCGGAGTACAATGAAAAGGCTCTGGGTTTGTTAATCGCAATTTTAGTTCCGTTTTTACTTTAGGCTCCGCCGGTCTCAAACNATCCCCGTAGAATTCCCGAAAAATTCGTCTCAACTCCATTTGTGCTTTATATGGTGTCTCTGAATTTATTTGCAAATTACTAACTAAATCGTCCCCCACNTCTGTAGCATTAATATTCATGATTTCCTGACGGGCGTCACCGTCACTCAATAACGTCAAACGAAATCCAAAGTCACGCATTACATCTCTACCTAATAGAGCTGGCGTTACCATTGTGTTCTCCGGAACTACGTACATTCTAAGATTTCCCCTAGAACTATTGCCAACCGTTATCGTTGCTCAAACCTTACCAACAAGATCTAGCGGTACTCTTTTACATCCAAAATAATCACGATCAGACGCGTCTAGAGGGTGAAGCGCCTGTCTATCTACAAACCTTTCCTTTATTAGACTAATGGGNCTACCCGTGTCGAAAAGTGTATCTAAGCACAATATTCGTCTTAAACTAGAGTCTTTTATCTCGTACGTCACAAGTTTCCGATGCTCGATGCCATCCTCTTCCGTGGGGTCTTCGTAGACGTTGGATACTTGCGGCGCCTCTTCCGTCTCCGCCGCTTCCCTGTTCGGACAGTTTTTCGCCAAGTGCCCCACGTTTGCGCANCTGTAACATGCTCCTCGCTCTCTCTTAGGTTTTGGGCAATCTCTTGAGAGGTGTCCTGGCTGGTTGCAATTATAGCACTTAACAGGTTTTTCTTCTTCTTCCTTCGGTTTTATTTTCTGCAGTTTAGCCTTTGATTTCACCTTCATGCCAGGCTTGTCTGCTGTATGCTTCTCTCCGTGCAATGGATACGATTTCTTTTTTTTACGTCTCCTTTCGACTGGAAAGAGATATCTTGCGAAATCCGTTTAACAGATCCTTTACTGTGCCAAAGTTTTGCATCCTCGCCTGATTTCGCAGTACCACATCTGGTATTCCGTCCACCAGATACTCCAACAAGTCAGCTTCCTCAACTGGCACTACACAGTTTGTCCGGAAAGTTCCCGGACTGATT